ATCCTCAAAATTTCAGAGTGCAGTGTGCTATTTCATATGCTGTAAATGTCATGAAAATATTCCAGGATGACACAGTTACTATTAAATGCCAAATTTCCAACAAGATGGGGCAAGATCACATGCAATGAACGTGCTTCTTCACTTCCTGAGTGAACACTTTGATGGCAAGGTCATCTCTAATCAATATCCTGGACAATTTGGAATTGGGTAGTCTTGACCGCTATGCTTGATTTTATTCCGTGATTGTGTCTTATGGGGTTTCTCTGAAGGACAGTGTCTACAAGAATAATCCACGTATGATTGAAGAACCAAAGGGAGAAATCACTGAATGAACACTGGCTGCAATTATGGAAAATTTCAGGCAATATAAACAAATGCACATCCTGAATGTGACTAGCTATGGGCCGGGCGATCGGGGTTCGATCCCCAACAGGGGCAGAGGATTTTTCCTCTAGCCTCTGCATCCAGACCAGCTCTGGGGCCCACCCAGCCTCCTCTACAATGGCTATCGGGGTCCTTTCCTGGGGGTAAAGCACGGCCAGGGCATGATGCTGACCACTCACACCCATCTGATGCTGAGGTCAAGAAAGAGTAGGAGCTATACCTCTGCTCCCCCACAAGTGCCTGCATAGGCATGTAGTGGGATGCTTTTTTACAACTATTACATGTTCTATGACACCAAAATTAATTAATTTCAGTGCAATACATAAACAGATCTAAACTACTGCATTTTTCTTGATTGCCCTACAAATGTGCATAAAGTTTCACATTTGGTCCCTGCTGAATTGACCAACCCTTTGACCTGTTTGACCTGATCTCTTTTAAACCATGTACCAAGTATGATATAAATTCATCCATCTCATACACTTTCATGGGCTGAAGCAGACAGAATATCTACATATTTGAACTTTATATTATTTGGTTGGCACTATACATTTAAGTTCTTTGCAGGAGTTACAGATGCAAAAAAATTCCTTCAAAGTCGCCAGTTTAGATTGTTATGCAGACTGCCTGTCTAAACATTAACTCTTCTGTCAACCGACAGCTGACTCTACCATTGAAACAGTAATTATCAATATAAAATTCACAGCAAATTCAGATATATGTAAAATGTTGAAACAAAACAACCAAAATATGTACGGATTTCTATAGTAAATCATATTAATACAGGAGCAAATACATCTTTATGTCTTCTACTCCTTCGAAAAAAATAGATGCCACGGGGCACACCACATAAGTAGCTCATGCCTTCTGGATTTTCTGAAATATCATGTAAACTGCTAAACTGCATTGTGTGTAAACTAACCATCTGGAATTGAGTATCCAAACAAACTTCTAACAAATGGCAAGTAAATTTCCATCGGTGGAGGCCATCTCTAAATGTATGTTACACAATCTACACTAAACACATGATTTTATAGAATGTCAACATGGCAATACATTTACATTTATCAATAACAAAACTTAAATCCCATCTTCTATTGCCATTTGGCAGCTCAAAGATGTGTTTTCCTAATTTATAATCATAAATTTCCTATATTTCTTTATACCAAATCTTTTAAAGATCATTATAGCTCATTTGTGATGAATATGTATAATGATATTAATTGTTTATTCATTCAGACTAAAAGTATAAAAACAATTATATATGCCCAGTTAAATACAATACCAATCCAGTATTCATCAACAATAAGATACTTATTGTTTCACTTACCTTAAAAATTTACAAAGTTTGCCCTGAAAAGATGTTCACCTCTGGACAACGTCAGTGTCACCGTGTTAGCAATCTTCTTAAACCCATGTATGAACATTCAGTCACTATGACTATAGTCAGAACTACACAGCAGTCTACTGTAGTAATGTTCAACAAAACCTGAAAATAAATTGAAAAATTTCAAGTTTCCTCCATGTGACTTGTCACACAGAATTAAATACCATGGGTTTATGTAACCAAGAAGGAACATTAAAGAAGATAAAAGCGATACACTAATTCTACACAGACATCAATTATCAACAGAATATGGGCAGAGAGCCAATTAATACTAATTATAACCATGCGTTGCAAACTTGACATGTAACTGGGTAGATGGATGAAGTAACAAACGCTGAGAATAAGTACTACAGTGATAACTCGATTCAGTTTAACATCCCAATATTGAAGACAGACATCTTCGTACTCTCTGCTGTGAGAACACGCAAACCCTACAGACATTTCATTACCTGAAGTGGTAATTAAATGCTATCTGAAATGCTGTAGAGCAGTGGTATTCAACATTTTTTGTTCGCGTACCCCCAGATATAATTTCTCTTCAACTTTGTACCCCAAATTTGTTGGTGTATAATTCAAGTTATACATAGTATATAATCTACATCTAAAATAAATTAAATAAATTACATCCAAAATAATGTATTAAATCTGTCCCTGATTATTCAGTGTTTATCATAAAATAATATTTTTATTAAATTTCACGTACCCCTTAAGATGTCTTTGCGTACCCCAGGTTGAATACCACTGCTGTAGAGGATACCAAATAGTCATGGAAATGAGCTTCAAGTTCAGCAGTGTAAATGTAATAAACTATGCCTAAAAATCGATAATATGCCACCATACTGCTGGATATTCTTTTATGTACAAAAAATTTGTCATTTAATATTTCCCTTCAAGGACAATGAATTTAAATATTATCGAACAAAGAAAAGCTTCACATGGAAAAAATTAACACTGTGATCCTGGGGTACAACTATAGTAATTAAAGTTTAAGTGGTAGAAAATCTTACCCCTTTTCCATGCCATTTCAGTCCACATTACTGACACTAACAGAAAAGTTAATTTAAATGCTTTAGTACATTAAATTCATTTGAGAACATTTGAATTTACTGTGTTCTTGAGGAAATTCCATTGTAATACAGACAATAAAAAATAAAAAATTATATGTCACAAATACACATTCACTTTAAGGTGTGACAAAAAGAAGATGTCTGTCAGTATTACTGACCTCTGCATATGATCCATAAAACTTCAGCAAGGGAAAAGTACATCACACCTACAACGGTAACACGTTAGCAGCACTTGTGGACCAGCACTGAGATATATGGTCATCAGTATAATACTGCTGTGGTCTATTTGTTGGCTGTATTTCTAATATTCACCCACCCTTCAATGCCCTACCATATAATCAGAACCATTTAATTTGGGCCATGCTAAACAAGCAAGTACACATACAAAATATTTACTCAAGAAAACTCAGCAGAAGCAGCAAATCATGAACCAGTTTCAAGGTCATAACATTATAACACAGTCATGTGACTTAAAACCTTGTGATTCTTGTTTATGATATCACTTTAAGGCAAAGCATATGACTACATCTTTTCATGATGTTAATTTATTGGGTGACACCAAACCAGGATATCATAAAGGTGTGATGGTGACATGGAGATTAATCTCTATGAAATCTAGAACTTGGTACTTAACAGAAGTATGTAATTTGTCAGTTTCACACCCCAATTGACTACAACCTGAGAAAAGAGCACCAGGAGGAGGATGTCATGCATCAAGGCTATCTGTATTAAAGAGAATAAAATTTGGTCCTCCTGTGCGCAAAATAAAAGTACCTATCCATTGGTCACAAAAATTGTTTTTCATTATAAGAGTTCCAATGAAGAAAATCTGTTCCTATTAGCAAGCTATATATGTTTATTCCCTAACGCAACTAGAAATGTCAGTGTAAAACTTTGCCTTTTGGCAATAAGTCACATCAAATGATAAGGGTTTCTGGTGCTTTGATAAACAATGCAGTTTCCATCTTCAAGATGAATGTATTTTGGAGGGTTTAATAAGCAGTAGTTGGTGAGCACCAGGGCCATATTATTGATTAGGCACAGTAGACACTGTGTCTAAGGCCTATGAAAACTAAGGTGGCAACACACACAAGTGACCATGTTCATTAACAAACATATCACAATGTCCATTTTGCTATAAATAATATTAAAGATAATTTTCATCACCGGTCTACCCTCAGAAATCAATGCAACTATAAAATGCATCCACCAAAGGGCCTATGAAACAGAAGTACCTATGGCCTACAAGGATCTTAATTCAAGCTTTGTGAGTGGGATGTGATTGGAAGAACAGAGGAACAGGGCAAACATTTTATAAAAGACAAAGTGGATCAGAATTCAATGTATGGTAATATTCTCATATTACTCTACCTACCCTATTCATAACTAAACTTCAAAATTGAAAGAAGAAGAAACAGGGATACCATTTTCACCTTCTCAGAGAGTGAGAAACCATCATTAATGTCATATCAGTCATTTCACAAATCTCATCTGTCATCTTATTTATCTATTTTACTTCACTCTGTCTTTTCATATATTATATATTTTGTTGTAATAACATTCTAAGATGCTCAGTGAATTACATAGCTGCTCCAGAGTTTATATTTGCTGTGCTGAGTTAATATTAAACAATTCTGTAGCCTATGTTTAAATAACATGAACTGTCAAATTAACCTATAATTCAAAAAGATCTTGGTTTCTCTACAAATTACCTTCTGGGATATTGCGCCATGTAGTATCTCAGAAGTTGACCGACGTTTCGCAAGCGTTTACTGCCTCCATCATCAGAACGATGGTGGAGACCCTGGTGATGGAAGCAGAAAACAGTTCTGAAATGTCGGTCACTACCGCACGACGCAAAATCCCACAAAGCTGAAATCTTCATACTTGCTGCCATGAGAACCTGAAATCTCACCTTTTACAACATAGCGCCGTGAGGCAATCAGCCGATTTGGAAAAAAGACGCACTTCCTGTAATACGAAATCCTTTTAGGATGTTATGTACTCTACAGTACAACAAACACCAACATTTATTTTCCACACCGTGTTCAAACATATCACAAATATAGACAATTTTACTTTCAAATAACAAAGAAACCAGAATTTCTTCCTCAGTGATTATAGTAGTCTGCTACGCTACATCAATCATTTGTTTTTGGTTTGCCGCTGTTAACACTAGAGAGCATAAAAGTCAGTGAAACACAAATGGCGACAGTTTATATTGTTTCTTGAAAATAGACATTATTTGTAAAGTACATTTATTTAAGTAAGATGGCGAATACAGTTACTCTCCCGCAAAAGAAATATTACAGACAGCGAGCGCATTCAAATCCCATTGCAGATCACTGCATAGAGTAGTAAGTAATTTTCCGTAGGACACGTAACCTAAAATGTAAGAAAAAGCAAAGTAGTATTCTTAAACCTTCTTAGTAAGTGGAGGTGAGTGGTTATATTCTGGCTTGAGGCACTTTTCCTCTGAGAAACTAGCTCATGTTACCTGTTAGGAGGTTACAGTGATATAGTAATTCTCCGTAATGTGTGAGTTTCATCTCAAACTTGTTACAGTCCACAAACACCAGCAGATATGGACTGGTCAACTTTGTATCCAAATTGTTTCACAAAAGAAAAATCTGACAGAGCCACATCACCCACAAAATCAGTTGAATTTGCAGATATAGGATGTGGCTATGGTGGTTTGCTTGGTAAGTTTTAGAACTATTTACCTGCAAAAGAGTCAATGCAGGTATATGTTGTTTTTTCCCTAATAGTAGTCCAGACATCTTTAAAAAAATGCTTTAAACACTTCAGAAACCGTAGTTGCAGACCCAGATTTGGTTGACAAAAATAAAGAATAGTCTGAATGATTTTTTGGAATCCTGCAACTTCCATTTTTTTAGACATACTTCTCTTATGTGATTGTGCTTAATGCATCGTTATTTTAAGCATGCATGAAAATATATGTATGTGTCCTTTCATACACAGGTAGAAACATTTTGATTTTCAATGTGACCAGTTTTTAAAATCAGCTGTGTGCTTGTATTGCAGTTACACTGTCACCAATGTTTCCTGAAAGCCTTATCCTTGGAATGGAGATCAGAGTCAAAGTATCTGACTATGTGATGGATCGTATAGCTGCCCTTAGATCTCAACATCCTGGAAAATATCAGAACATTGCCTGTCTGCGTACTAATGCTATGAAATATCTTCCAAACTATTTCAATAAAGGACAGGTGTGTTTATTCCATATACATATAAGTGTCCAAGACATATGTATATAAAGAGTAATTCTGTATATGTAACAGGATGCAGTTCCTGACTGTGTTATGTGCTCCCAGAGCCCTGAATGTTCTCAGTAATGCTAGATGACAAAATGCTTTATTTTACAAGAACTGCTGCTGTTATGCAGCTTTTAGAAGTACTTCTAATATGGGTGATAAAAAAAGTGAATTACAAAAATTGGAAAAGATACAGGAAAGAAATCATTCCTCAGTGAATGTCTACTAGCATTAAAACAAATGAAAGACTGCTTTCTAGCTAAGAAGTCAAATGGTTAATATTGTTTACAAATGTTGCTATTTCTTACTTCCTTTTCATAAGCTGTTCCTTAACTAGATTGTGCAGACATAAAATATCCAATAATGTTGCATGCTACTTGACATTGTTTATACGTCATTAAGAGATCTAAGGGATATATATCTCTCTCACACACATGCACACAGAGAGAGAAATGTGAAGTGATTTTTGTAATTCTTATCAACTTTATTAGTTTTGATGCCAGCCAATCTTTAGGCTTTTATACTCAAGTACTTCCATTTGAAAACCAACCATATATTTTGCCATCAGTGTATGTTCTGATAATCAGATTAAAATTAATAAAATGTTTAGTTGATACATTTGCAAAATTCTGGCTGCATAATGACTACTACACAAATTTCTTTTTACTCAAACTTTTATTAGTACACCATTACATTCTTATTTATTATGAATTGTTGTAGCTGAAAAAGATGTTCTTCTTGTATCCAGATCCACATTTCAAGAAAGCAAAGCACAAATGGCGAATCATTAATACAGCACTATTAGCTGAATATGCATATATTTTGGCAGAGAATGTAAGTAAATAGTATTTAGTTGTTAAATCCCTTCAATGGGCTGCTCATGTTACACTGCAGATACTCTGTGGAATAGATTTGTGGGCATGTTCATAGCTTAAAGTAACAAAAATGCATCTATTAGTATTGCTATGTCTGTCTATCTCTCTCTATCCATACCAACAACTTGAGAACCACTAAATGGAGTTTCACTAAAATTTGTTAAGACATTCCAGTTTTAGTTAAAATCATACAAGAGATACACTGCATGAAGATCTACATGTATTTCTCTCTGCAGATGTGACTAGATGTTGAATCTGTCATACCTTATCCTGATATGCTTCAGCATTATGGAAGTATTTTTAACATTTTATACCCATTCATAAGCTACAAGCAGGTGTCCCCATACTTCAAAGACATCCAGTAATGAATTTGTGTTAGCAAAGATGCATTCAAGAGTGCCAAAAACGGATGTCAGAATAAATCTTAAACTTGTTACAGGACTGTGCCATCTTTGAAATACCCAAAATATAACTAAATTGTATGTCACTTCTGCCTTTGAAGCTACTAGAAAGAAATTCATATTATATTTCTTTTTCTTATTTTGTGATGTTGGAAGCTGTTTTGGGCAACTGAAGCACCTTTGTATGATCAGCTTTCACAGCGACTGAGTATAATGAATTATTCTTGGACTACCAGCAGTGTCAGGTAGTTGAATCAACCTGGTAGCCCAAGAATAATTCATTGAACCACCTTTATATCTGAATACTGGCATGTTCATTGTAATGTGACTCACAGTAGGATGGAACATAAGTGAAACTAACATTCTTACATTTCTAGGCTATTGTGTATACTATAACAGACGTGAAGGATCTTCATGACTGGATGGTACAACATTTTGTAGAGCATCCTCTATTTGTTCGTTTAAATGAGGAGGAATTGGTGAGTATACAACTAAATGTTATGATTTTGAGAATTGTCTGTTTCGCTGGGAACCATCTTAGCACATAACATCACTTCAAATATTTGTGTTAAAACAATCAAGTATAAGTAGGAATTTGCCATCCAGTGAATCTGAGAATCCGGTGCCATCAATGTAAATACTTCTGTTATTTATTCATCTGAGGCCTGACAATTAAATGTGACTGAATCAATAAAAATAAATGTATCACTGATCTTTAGGGAGTGTGGTTACCTTCAAAGTACTCAATTTCTGTCTTTAAACATGAATCCCTTTGCCTCTACCATACCTGAAACCACCCATCCCGCCTGACATTATCCTCCCATCTATGTCTAGGTCTCCCCAGCTGTCTCTTCCCTTCAGGCTTCCCAACCAATACCCGGTGCACATATAAAAAGTACACAGTGATATTAAAGATTACATCCCCCCACTATTCTTGATATTCCACCTTTGCAGGTTAGCCCACTACAGTTCCCAGGTCTTCAGTTACACAACTTAATCATCAGTTTTCTTTAATTTCTTTCACCACTTCCAAACAATTTCCCTGCAATTGATAAACACACACAGAAACCTATATTCTACTCATTTCCCTCTCCATAAACTTGCTGTAATGTCTTGAAAATGCAATGGCATTTTTCTCCATTTTAATCATGTCTTCCACATCTCAGGCCCTGTGGCCTATTAGTCTCATTGCAGTGTTTATGATAGCCTCTAAAGTATCTGTCCATTTGGTACATAACAGAGAATTTGGAATGAGAATCATGAGTGGGGAATTCAAAGAACATGGTTCTTCCTGCCATTAAGAATGTTATGTATTAATTTAATATTAGAATCAAACATTTTAGCTAGAAAAATAATTTATATCTGATATCTGTATGTTTTAGAGTTTGGATCCAGTGATAGAAAAACTATATAATAGCTCAGAGGAAGGACAGAAAGTGACCCGTAACAAAGGAAGTAAATTTTTGGCTGTGTTCAGAAGAGTCATGGACCCTCATGAAGGCGGTGAACACTAAACATACCACATTCTTTCCTAGTTATTTGGCTTATTAAGATTGCATATATATTACCAAATAACTATTTTTAATTTTTTAACTTGTAACACCTTTTTGCTCAGCACATATCATCTATAATAAAGCTGAAAGTAAAACAGTGAATTTTAAAACAATGTCTTGTGGTGAGACATGAACAAAAATAACATTTGTGTAATGAGTGGCAATGATTTTAAGATAGCTGTTTTGTGCAACAAAAGAATACAGTGTAGCCAGTAAGCCTTTGAAGCTGCAGCTAATCCAAGTAATATTTAACATTTCAGAGGTGCTTATTAAGACCATCATATGGACAATGAGGAGGCAGTAAGCACTTCTAAAATGCTGGTCAATTTCTGTGAGATTACATGGCACTACAACCCAGAAGACAGCCATCTTCAGACTCACCACCGTGAAAACCTCAAATCCTACATAAACTCTCAACATTTCACATTTCTAGAGACAGAAATGGCTTTTTTTTTTGTTTCTTCATAGACCCATGCCTCCCAAAGGAAATATAAACAATAACAATGTAAGGCATAAAAGGCATGAACAAAGGAAACAAAATAATGTTTTTAAAAGGGTAAATACATTTTTCTCATTCTATAACCTTATTCACCATGATAGGAGCAAGCCCTACACTAATATGAAGGTATGTCTGAACTTGGCAGTATGTATAGCCACAAATATGGTCCAAAGATTTCCCCAGTTTTCTCATTATTGCAATTACAAATAGCTCACAATATCTTGAATTTCCAATAGCTGCAGAAACTGTTCTGTTCTTCCTTCTTTCCAAGGCTTCATGCCACATATATAGATAGCACTATTATGTGCAAAACCTCAGGACATAGTTATCTTATTTGGTTTCGATAGAGTTTAACAGCGCACAGAATGATTATCAGGATCAAAGCAGGCCATAAATACAATGATTCATTGTTAAGATAAACCACCAAAATGTACAATCTAAGACACAAAACATTCAGTGCTTGCAAATAAAAAATAAACAGGTAATGTGCCTGACAAGCATTGTTCCAAGGTGAAGAGCAACAGCGATTTCAGGTACCGTTAAATTCTGGTGGCACTGTAATTATCTCTACATATGTTTCAACCCACTTTCAAAGTAACCAAGACAAATGCTATTTTTATAGACCTTGCTACACCCAGACTGGCATTTACAAAGCACTGGCTAAGTAGTACATATAAAAGAAGCACAAACATGAAGTAAACCCACTAACATCAATATGAATAAGTAATGGGGAGCATAACCCATTACCTTCCTGCACTTTAACTTTCTGCCAAACCTAATACAGCATAACTAAAACTGAATGTCCCCTACCATGCTTAGGAAACTAAAGCCAGTTTAAACAGAACACTTAAATGAACAGCTGTAGTACGGTTCCCAAGTGCAGCCACCAGAAAGTTTCAATAATTGGGGGAAAAAAGTACTGATACATGCATGATGTGTACATGCTGAACATTTAATTTTTCTTCGTGCAGTTTATGGCTGCATTACTAGCCAAAAGACAATATTTCTTGAGATCCACTGGTTTAGTAATATCATAAAACAGTGAGTTCAGTTAAATGGCAGACCAATAAGTCAATATTTGCTGGTTTGAGCAAAGGGATAGACAATGTCTCTCCTGAGATTGAACCTAATACCACCTATAATGGAAACTTTTCTTTCAATATTAGATACACGATGAGCAGGGCTTACAACTAATCACAAAATATGTTCACAATCTATTGCCAGGAAATAAGTGACATTACAAATGTAAGAACATTTTTATTTAAAACATATCAAGTCTAAGGGCAAGTTTATCATTTCATTCAAATATAAAAATGCTCTCTCAGCAGATGCAGACTGGTTGGGAGAGCACAAAGCTAGCTAAATATTTTGAAAACAGGAAGGTGTGAATTATTACTAATGAAATAGAACAGAAAGTAACTCTCTGCCTTTTGAGATACAAACTTTTCCAGTCTGTTTAATTTGGCAAGATTATACATCTGTGTTTTTTAACAGGCATTTCATCAACTACCATTACCTATCCGATCATTAAATGTTATAACTTTGAAGAAAATCACAGCAGATTGTGTATTCAGAAATCTTTCATCCCTAATACAGATAAGCTGAAAGTCAGTGAAACATGCCAATCACTGTATTTTGTTAATGTCTGTGCATCACTTGGGAACAACTGCATGATGTAACATTCTCTCTCTCACTAAGAGGGTTGCTTGCTACAATATATCCAATGTTCCTTGCTTTGTTTTATGCTGAACATAAAACAATGTAGACGCACGCTTAAAGAATCTATTTTAAACACATATTACAAATATGATTTATTTTACAGACATAAATAATACTTTACCCTTTGCCCATTCTAATTTAGTACGGCATAAAAAAATTAAAATCTCCATGCCCAATCTAACACAGTAAACTTGTACCAATGGCTTATAATGGCATGTCAAGAAGAAAAAAAGGCGATTGAAGTATAAATGGAATGAGCAAAGGGTTAAACCAAACATAGACACATGTAAAAAATGCAGTTATAAATAAACAAAAAGAAAACACCTGCGATAATTCTGAAGTATTGATTTTATCATAATGCACGAGAGTTGTTAGATATGGGTCACAAAGTAACTTAAAAACATTCTCAGTATGTTAGATCAGAACTGCTTCAGACACAAAATTACCATTTTATTAAATATGTCCCATTAAGTTTTCTCAGTCTTACTGCCTTAGACAAACAGAATTCTTATTTTGAAATATCTAAACAAATCAACCTCACTTTCAGAATTATTCCTGGGGAGCCATAGCACGAGCTTGAGCACGAACTCTCTTCTCATACTCCAGACGGTTTTGACTGAAACAAAAATTAATATTTTCAATAAGCAAAATATGCAAACAATAATCAAACCACTTTCACTCTGATCAGCATAAAAACGCACTGACATTCAATTAAGGATAACTTGAAAAAATGTGAGAAGTAACAAAGTAGTCTCTAACCAGGATGGAAGTACATTTAATGGACAAATGCATATGTGCAAGCTCCCCCAATCCTCTTATGTTACAATGCTAGAAAATCTGGATACACATAATTAATTTGGCTTTATGATTGTCAATTTCAAGTACTATATAGTTACATGAAAAGAACAATCAACAATGCAAAGCAACAATATTGATTTGACATGTGTAATAATGTCTCAGAACATGCATAAATACCCAAGTCCCTTTATAATTCAATTTATTAGTAGTAAAAACCAATTTTCTCAGCAACTTTTCAGAATGAGTCATGATACATGACGAAATCCCTTACAGTAGTTAAGATGTCCAGGGCTGACAACAATTGCAAGAAAATAAAAATAACACTAACTCAACTCGTTATTATAGAACATGTAACACAACTATATGTGCCCTTAATCTAGTGCATTAAAGAGCACACATCATTGTTGCTGCGCTAATGGTTGCTGGGAATGTTCATGTCAACAGAAGATCATTATGAAAATCAATGACTACTACTTCTTCATCGTCTATGGCCAAGCTTGACCATCGTGACCCAAACGAATTGTGATTATCACACTGTTCATCAGGGTTTTCTTGCGAAAGTACCACGGTGGTTTCGCCTTGCCTTCTGTGGCGTCTTTATCCACCAGACTGGAAGAGGAGTATGTCAGTTAGGATAAAATTAGAAGAGGGGGAGTAGGAGGGATTATGAGAATGAGTTTATAGGAACGAGGAGACATGGGATAGGGTTAATAGGACACTCTACTATATGAATAAATAGATATGAAGGAATAGTAGAGTGAGCTCAGGTGTCCCGGGTGCGCAACTACCCATACTTGTCAGCTGCAAGCCCCTGGGGGGGCATTGGCTTCTGGAATTAATAAAATCTTTTCAGGCTATCAGCTGTGTCAGCTGGTTAAAAGCTGACATTTCAGATACCAGCAAGATCCCATCATCAGGATTTTATGTAACAAGTTATCCAAATATCCCACATACACACCTACCTACCATCTGTATTTGAAGCTGAATGCAAGCCAACAGGGAGGTTGTTGGTGGAGCCAGGTGTTTCGTCAGTTTACCTTGCTTCCAGATTGGTAAGTCTATATTATTTGATTATGTTAGTCATCGGGTTCCAGGACCAACTAAGGTTGAAACCACTGTCCCTGTTAATGTTTTTGGGGTGGAGTCTGAGAAGATTTTGTTAATGTTAGTCACTATAAAAATTTCAGATCATATGCCTTCTGAGATGTTGTGTTGTGTAGTCTGCTAGACACAGACAAATGTTTCTGATAAGCTTACCGCCTCCATTGCCAGGGAGATAATTACAAATCAGAATGCAATCGTGATACTAGTTATAAATGCAAGATTGTTGGTAATCTAAATTTATGGCCAGTGATCAATACAATGTAAGGTATTAAGGGGACTTCCAAAATGTGGAGCTTCTCCAAACTCTGGAAATCACTTAATTCCAAAATACGACTTGTTGAATTATTCCTCTTATATACTCCTACTCAAGAACTACCTATGACCATCTTCTACTCACCAGTAAATGGTGTAGGCCTCTGCCTGAGCGGGATCTTTAATGTTAGGCTCGTTCAGAAGATCTTGAATTCCAAGAAGAATCTGTTTGATAGTAATGGCTGGACGCCAGTCCTTCTCTTCATCCAACAATGACAGGCAAACTGTACCTGTATTCATTACAGCAGTTACTAAGGTTTATATGAAATACTAACATAACTTAATGCTGTTAATTAAACATTTAAATGAAAATAATGTAGATACACACAAATTGTCCACAATCATTATCAAGCAAAGCTTTCAACAGGCTGAGTCATCCTATAATAAAAGTTATTCCATTTTTCACCATCCCCAAAAAGCCTTCACTACTGTTGTATCTCTGTCCACTACCCATTTTTAAAACTATCTTTCCTTAGCTGAACTCTCTACATTATCTCCCCAATAGTCTTTCATTACAAATCCTCATTTTTATTTTGAGAGAACCAATTAAACTTGGGGGAATGATTTGTCATGTCACATTCATAACCAAACAATGTAACAAAATTGTACACAACTGGTCTTAAGGCTAAACACAGATGCCCTGACCATTTATCAAGCAAACACCAATACACATTCTTCCAACAAGACTTGGATAACATCATACAGCAAGGGCATCCATGGATGCTCTGAGGGAAGTATCTAAGAACAGAGTTATTAGTAGTGGTTTGAGGTCAGCATTTTTCTCTGACATAACCAATTTGACATTTTTTAAGGGGGAGGATATGGCAGAACTTTTAAAGATCAAACTTTTACACAAGTGAATATTTATTTATAATTTATTTAATGATGTTTTCTCAGCAGCTCAGACTACACAGCATTGAATGAGAGGATAACAGTGAATAATGAATGTAAAGGATGTAGAAGGAAGTGGTCATGGCATAATTTAAGGTGTTATCCTGGAATTTGCCTGGAGGCTCTGTGGACAACCACAAAAAAAAACCCATAGCTGGTCTCCGGGCCAAGATGTGTTCCCAGGACCTCCCAAATATGAAGCAATGTTAAGTTACACAAGTAAAGAACTGAAGAAAAATATTAAGAGAAATTTTTTCTCTTATGTCCCCAGAAAAACTTCAATGTGTGAATGTAAATTTTTGCAGTGGTATCATATATGTGTGGAACAACAGACAGCTCTTCAATCATCAGCTATAATCACAGTAAGTTTAATGTGTTTAGGCCATAAGTTTGCTGGTTCACCTACCAGTCTGAATCTATACAGTCCAACATAACAGGAGCATCAGACTCTTGCCTGAGAGATTTAGCAATCAGTAGGATGCCTATACTTCACTGCAGTTAACTATGAAAACAAAAATTCTACATATGAAACCTAATTTGCAACAAAAAGTTACTTTTACATAACTTAGTACCTCCATTCTAATTATGTGAATGAAATATTTATGCTAACTAAATGGGATCGGATACATCATGATTTAGAAGACACACATGCACCAAACAAGTTTCTAAACAAAAACCACAAGTTTCTGGGGGGGGGGCACTGACTCCGAGAAGAATATTTTTAAAGACAAAATGTTCAGTTTTCATAACTAATCCTAGGGTCCTCCATCTAAAACAAGAATATACTAATGACATATGGAGGAACTCATCAAGAGAAATAATTAATCACAGTTAAAAATTATCTGAAAATATCTTAAGTATTTGGTCTTCAAAGAAACAAAATTGTTACCTGAGGGGTATACATTCGGATGGAACAGAGGAGGCTCAAATTTACATTTTGGGGGACTGGATGGGTAGTCATCTTTAAAGATCATTCGAAGCTTGTACTGACCACCTTCCCATGGAGTCTGAAAAACACAAACAGCAAATTAAGTGTGCAAAAATGTTGAATTGGGAGGAAGATGAAGAAAGCAGTCATGGCCTATTTCAAGTAGTATCAGGAGGAGACTAAGGAAAAGTATTAAATAGCTCAAATCAGGATATACAGTTCACTAGGCAAAATTTAAAAAATAGTACAGCCAGAAAACAATACAGACATAGTATTCACTGTTATTTGCTTCTAAGTACTCTGTGGTTAACATTACAAACTCAACAGCTCTTATTTCTCTATGGAACATGCATGTATGTGGGAATAAACATTATAATTCTGTTCCACTTTCAATGAGATTTGTAGTTTGGAAGATAAAATTCTAGTAAATGTATTTCAAGCACCGTGAACCCAATATGACATATTCAACAGTTCCCTTATTTATATTCTGGGTAACATAAGTGTAAATAGAAATATTTTTGTTCCTCTCAATCTTCAGGCATTCAAGCTCTAGCGTGAGTGAAGAACACATTATGGGCCCATCCTTGCCAGTCAGTCTCACATTTTTCCAGTGGTTTCCATTACTGGGAAACAATGGTACTGCAAAATACATTAGCGCAATAATGTTCTAAGGACACTGCTGGAAGACACTGTTGTGCAACAATTGCCTGGGATCACATTAGTGAATGACCTAAAACACAACAATAACCTCACAAAGCATTGGTGTAACAATGACATGTGGCATGAAGAACACCTTTGGAATGTCAGCATACTCCTAGCAGTAGATCTTTCCAGTCTTGTTCTCCATCTCACACATATAGAACAACCTGTGGCAGATATTTAAATTTGGTACTACTTTAAAAACTAACAATTTTATCTCTCTCTCTCTCCTTCTTCTTCTTCTATGGCATGACAGCCTGAAGTCAAGCCTTGGCCTCCTTTAAGTGACGCCTCCAAACTTGCCTATCTAGAGATTCTCTTCAAGATCTCCCTGCTGTCCATTTCCACTGCATTAACCCATCTTTTCCTTTGTTTACCTACAATAAAGTTGCTTGCTTTCCAGAATCCTTTTTGGTATGCGTTTTCCATCCATACGTTGGACATGACCTGCCCACTGTAGTCTTTTTAATTTAATAATATTTGATATACTCCTTCTTCTTCTTCTTAATGTGCCTATCCACTCCAGATGTTGGCGATCAGCATAGCAATTTGAACTTTACTGACTGTTACTTGAAACAGCCCTCCAGTGGACATCAAGAACCAAGTTTTTAGGTTCTGAAGCCAGGAGATTCTTGGTTGCCAGGTCCTCTTTCTGCCATGCTTGATTGTACTAGGGAATTATAATGGAGTGGTTTCCATTGCCTTCTACATCGCAGTATTACAACCAGTACAATCAATATGTGATTGTTGCCTGTGAATATCTGGTGTCTGACCTTTAGGGAAGTCATTCTTCAATAGCCTCGCCCCAGTAATGACATAGCTGCTGCCCTATGCCATCTACCGTGACCCTGGTAGAGGAACCCTTGCAGGTTGCTACCCCTCGGGTCAAGGGGAACCCGGAGTTCATGTAGGCAGAGGCACTCACTTCCTTGAAGATTCTCCATGTATCAATTTCTTTCATTGGGCCAAGTATTCTTTTCAACACTTTCCTTTCCAATGCATCCAGAGCTGATTCTGACTTTTTGCTGAGGGCCCAGCTTTCACTTGCATACCATTACACCAGTCTTATCACCATCTTGTACAGCCGTATCTTTGTTTGCCGATGTATTACTCTATATCTCATGATGGGTAGCAGTGTAAATTACACTATTTGCTTAACCAATTCTTCTTAGGATTTCATTCTCCTCGTTGGCGCCAGCACTTAGATTTGACCCCGGATATACAAGGTCCTTAAGGGCTTCTATTGTTCCTTCATTAAAGTTATCTTATGGATCTGCTTATCTGCCCTTCAGCTCTAAATCAGTAGTTTTGTTTTATTTGTATTAATTTCTAAGCTAATTTCTTTTACTGCTATAGCCAATTCATTATATATTTCTGTTACATCTGACAAGGACTGGGAGATAATAGCAATGTTATAATTTTTGTTCTTTACCAGTTGTCTTTCCAATTTGGAATTTAGCATGCCAAAGCAAGATAAACATGACATCTGAGACACTCATTTTCATCATCTGACCAGAGACTGTAATTGGTATCACTGGAACCCAATGTTGTAGCTTCCAGAAAACTAAACCTTCTTGCTTTCTTTCTGGATTCCTAAGATTTAATCACATGAATTTTGATGCAGTGGAAATAATTAAATGAGTTTTCATCTGCAATCAATTGTTAAAGTCCAGCTACAAAGTTGCACATGTGCATTATGAATGAGTAAAATAAAAACCACTTTCTGGAAACTCTTTACTTTCACATGGAGGAGATATCAGATTTTGAAGCACCTAGGCTTAAACACAAGAAAATTTGAAAACAACCAAGCTATGCAACATTTGTAAATAAATGGTGTAAAAATCATCATCCTACATGCTACCATAATCACTTCATGTGGCACAAATACATATAAAACTACTGCTATTAATTTCTTCTTCTTCTTCTTCTTCTTCTTCTTCTATGGCTCTCCTCAATTCTCCTCTTCCATTCGGTCCTCTGTTAGGTCCGTCTGTCCGAGGCTTTGATTGAGGTTAATGGTACCTGCACCTTGTCGTGGTGGTGGGGCTTGAGTACCTCAGTGACCTCAAGAGCTATGCTGGCAGTAGCATAGCTACTGGTAGGGCCTCCCTAGCCAGATTGGTTGAGGGGGAGAGGTCAGACTAAGACAGGTACCCTGGTCCTCCAGGTTAGGGGGTTGGTTGCAAGGCTAACAACCTTGCACCGTAAAGGAAGATGTTTTGAAACCTGCTATTAATATAGGTACCTGAAATACTTATAAGGGAATAAATAATCAATTAGAAAGCGCTATCCTGACATTCACAGAACAGGGAATACAGAAAAACAGTTTATTTCCATAAATACTAAAAAAAAGAACCTATCAAAAATCAAGATTGAAAAGGCACACTCTTTAGAGTACACCAACATCCCAAAGGCATTCTTCAAGTTACATCAAGTAGGCAATTCTGATCACAATTCCTTATTGCACTTATGTTATACAAGGTCACTGTTACATCTCGGACCATTCTTGAACTGTGTTCTCAGCTCATGCTATGGCATAATACAGTACACACTTCACCTCACATAAGTAACCCATGAAAACTGTTTTGGTCTTCAAAGTCATGAACAACAATCTGACCTGCACATGGAAAAGGAAGTAACCTTGTAAGACTGATTTGTGAAACTGATTTCTTAAATAAAGTTCCAACATAAGAACACAGGCACAGGACAAAAATAAAAATCTGAATATAATACAGAAAATCTCATGAAGACAATAATTTTGGTGGTAAAAGTCTGGGTACAAGTTTTTATTACTTTGTGAACTGGGGAGTGCTGATACTAGAAGCTGACACATCTGTAAAACAGACGAAACCTGCTAAAAATTGTATTTGCAAATATTCAATTTTCTTCTACTTTCAAGAATTTTTATTGTCCAATTGAACCACGTTGTTATTCATAGGAATAGACTCTGCACTTAGCTATTTATTCGGTGGTGCAGTGCCGCTTAAAATACTTTTCGTCAAATGTCCTATTCATTATTTATTTTCTAAATCAAGTTTGAGCCATTTAATTAAATGAACTGATTTCCCTGATGCCACTGATGATGACCTTTTACGGTTGAAACGCGTATGGCAATAGTGTCTTCTTTATAGTGTTAATAGTTGTTTTGTGCTTATTTATATTCTAATACACTACACAGTATGCAAAGTTTTAAGCTCAGTAACTTGTTGAAGTGTCCATATAAACTACATGAGGATCAATTTACCTAACTAACAAATATGTTAATAATGAGTCTAGTAAGGTACTAGAGCTAGTACAACAATAAAAATTAATATTTTATTAAGTATGCTTCTCGCATTCTTACAATCTCTACAAGAAATTTTAAATACCAGCCTCATACACAATGTAGTGGTTTGGAAAACTGGGCAGGTAAGTAAAATTTATAATAATCCGAGGTAGACATCCAAATTCCACGAAAAGTATTCTATTACTTTTGAATTTTATTATGCTAAGGTATGAAAATTAATACACCTTTTCAAACCCTAATTACCTCCTTAAATTATCAATTATGGGTGGATAAATTTTAAATAAGACTATAGCTGCTGAACACACATTCCTTCCCCTTGTACATACCAGAAGGCACCTTATAAAAAACACTACTTTACTGTGAGACGAAGGCTTCGCTGGTTATAACTTACCGATTTCTTTCCAGGTATAGCACACTCCCAGCTCATTAGATTGAGACTCCCATCGCCATTCTTAACTGGTCTTGCTACAAAACCCTATGAACAATCACAACAATGCCATGAAATATGTTTCACTAATTACAAAGCGGGTATTTCTTCTTGAATAAAAGTGTTTACTTACAAACGGGTGGTCCTTTCTCCATGCCTTCCTTTCTTCGGCTAATCTTGCAATAGCAATCCCAGACATTGTACACCTGAAATGGAATGCACAGAGTAGTTTCGTTCCCTACGCGTTTAACATTTCCTAATTGGCGTCAATAAGGAAAAACTACTCCAAGAGCTGGAAAGAATGTATTATGAGCTCCAAACGGCACTGCATGCAAAACCCATTCTTCTATTCACGAACGAAATCAGAAAGTACCGCGATTTGCTTACTAGCAAGGATACCATAATTACAAACACTCATCACACATGGCGCTCAAAATAAAATTATCAGCGAATTTACATTAAACTAGTAGGCATAGCAGTGCTTACCAATTTGCTTCCTTCAACACTCCTCTTTATTATTTGAAAACTATTACTTACTTCTCCTTTAAGCAATAACACCATGAATTATTAGGGTGTGTTCACTATGATTAGTTTGCAATTTCACTTAGCCTTGTTTGAAAATAACGCAACGGAAATTTCGGCACAGAGGAGTACGTTCAGGAAACTCGTAAAGAAAACCACAATACTTGCAGCCCAGAAAGAAAAGTAGTGCACTGTATAAGCCAGTTTTTCGATTGGTAAATATACTCTGGTATTGAAGATATGAGGTTAAGATGTCGATTCTGGGTCTTCTGGTTTGTGCTTCCATACAACCTTTTAAGTGGTTACTTGTGTTTTGAAGGACATACTGCCTTCTGAACCATTGGTAACCACATGTGAAAGAATACATAGGGAAGAAATTACATAAAAACTAGTGACATTTTGTATATACCTCTTCAATTTAAAGTCAAAAATAGGCGTTAATTTATTTTCTGTAAACAGACAAATGTATCAGCAACAAGACTGGAAAGAGGTTCTTTTCAGAGAACACTTACATTCTAAGTTCTGCTAGAGGCAACCTACTTACAATATTTTGCTTGAATTAGTTGTACCTAAGAAGCTAGTCAGGCAGTTAGGCTTATGAAAATGTGTTTTAAGCGAAACCTATAGCAAAATTCGTGTAGTTAAACATTTGTCCAATACACTTCCTTTTCTGAATGGCATGAAAGAGATATGCTCTATCACTGCTGCTCTTTAATTTTGCCTTAGAATATGCCATCAGGAAAGTCCAAGAAAATCAGGGCAGTTTGGAATAGAATTGGACATCTATGCTGATGATATTGATCTAATGGGTGATAATATAAACACCTTAAAAGCAAACACAGAAAACACACTTGGGCTAGAAATAAATGCAGAGGAGACCAAGTATATGTTAATGCCTCAAAATCAGAATTCAGAACAGAACCAGAATATCAGGATAGCTAATATATCGTTCAAAAATGTGTGATATATATATATATAAATAAAAGAATCCTCGGGGGTAAAAACCCAGGGGTTCAATAATCGGTTTGCAGTGGAAGAACTCCTCATAGGTGGATCAGATCCTCCTGAAGCCTGGCAGGTCTAGCCTGAGATGGTAGAGGCTCGGGTGTAACAATAACATGACAAGAGAAAAGGGGCAATGCCACCAAGGGCAAAGCACCAAAGTGTGGCATCCCAAATGGGATAAAGGTTTTTGTGGACCAGTAGAGGTCTAACCCATCATGATAGAAGCTCCTTCAAATGGAAATGGGGTGGTATCACCTTGTCATCATCCTGGTCATAGTTTTCATGTGGGATATGGTCATGTTCACCCCTGCTTTGAAAAGCACTAAACTTCTTTCACAGCCAGAAGTTCAGCAAGAATGTAATACTTTCTACAGGTGTTCAAGAAGTCACAAAAATACTGTATGAAATAGAATTATGTTATCATCCTTATCAGATTTTTTATTGAATCAAAAGAAATATCTTGCTTTGGCCTCTCACAGCAGCTGCAGCTAACTGAGTCACATCAGAAACAATCTTTTGATGAAGCAAACTCATTCATATGATGTTTGCTAAAATGGTTTATTCCAAATATGGACTTGTATATCTTAGGAAATTTTTACTTTTCAGATTTGAAATTACTCAAACTGTTCTGCAATTAAACCACCTAACAAATGACTTTGAAAACAGACTATATTCATACTTGGCAGACTAAACATACATACATACATACGAGGTCTGTCCAAAAAGTATTCGACCTTGGGCCGGGAAAACAAAGTTCTGTATCTGGGGGTTACAATACCTAATCGCCTTTAAAGCAGGCCCCTTGTGACTCCACACACTTAGCCCAGCGGTCCTTCCATCTCTGGAAGCAATTCTGGAAGGCTTGTTTTGGAATGGTGTGCAGCTGCGCCATCGCGTTCTGTATGATGTCCTCGCGGCTGTCAAAACGGGAGCCTTTTAGCGGTGTCTTCATTATCGGGAACAGCCAGAAATCACAAGGAGCAATGTCAGGAGAGTAGGGAGCCTGGCAAACCTGCAGAATGCCGTGCTTGGCCAGGAAACCCTGGATCAGGTGTGATGAATGAGCTGGGGCGTTGCTATGATGCAGCTGCCAGTTGTGCGTCCCACAGCTCCGGTCTCTTGCCCCGAACTGCATCACGAAGATGATGGAGGACTTCTTGGTAGTGAGCCATGCCTCATGGCTCAAAGTGGCCTATCTCCCCTCTCGACGTTCTTTGGAATCTCTGGCTTCGAGGCCCTGATGAGACAGGAGTGAACGACTCAAGCAGGATGGTTGAAGGTAGGTCTGTTTTGGGGGTCTGGTTTGACGTGTCTAGTCATATAACCAACCGGGGACTGAGCCCTGGGAGGCTTGACCGAAAAGTGTCTCTTTGTTCTCTTTATTTCAATGTTTATATAATTTTTATTAAATATACTTTTCTGGTTAATCGGGGGTTCTTTAATTTGTTTTTTTTTTTTGGCTTAACCACTATTCTTATCCTACAACCGTACCACCTCCCAGCCTCTGGGATAATTTGGTTCAAGTCACGAGTGCCGGCAGGGCTCAGTAGTACTCCTTATTGACAGTTTGGCCTAGTAGTTCGTACTCATGATGCACAACACCCCGGTAATCGAAAAAACAGTCAGTATCACCTTCACATTGCTCCGAACCTGCCGTGCTTTTTTGGGCCTCGGGGATGTTGGATGCTTCCATTGTGATGACTGGACCTTGGTTTCTGGGTCATATCCGTACACCCACAACTCGTCACCAGTGATCACAGTCTTCAGGAACACAGGATCCCTGTTGGCGCACTCCAGCATGTCCTGCGCAACCTCAAGGCGTTGTTGCTTTGGCAAAAGCAGCTTGGGCACAAATTTTGCCGCCACTCTTCGCATGCCCAAATCCTCCGTTAAAATCGTGTTAGCAGAACCTCTGCTGATCCCAACCTCATCAGCAATTTCCCAGATGGTCCTCCATGATCAATGTCCGCACTTTGTCATGACATCAGCATTTCGGCTCATTGACGGTCTCCCGGAACGCTGGTCACTGTCCGCCGACATGCAGCCATCTTTAAAGCGGTTGAACCACTCTTTAATTTGAGTGACCCCCATTGCATCATCGCCAAAAGCCTGCTGAATTTTGCAGATTGTTTCTGCTTGGGTATCCCCAAGTTTCTGACAAAACTTGATGCAGTATCGCTGCTCCAAACGTTCCATCATCTTGAGCAAAACGAGAATGCAACAAACACGTGTTACACCACTTCGCTATCTGGCAGCGACAAGACGCATCCGGCGGTGCTGTGAGGAAGCAAAAAATCACGCATGAGCATGAAAGTCCCTTCTACCACTACGCTCAGTTTCCCCACCCTTTCGCCATTACTTACCGCAGAAAAAAATATAGTCGGATACTTTTTGGACAGACTTCGTACATGCTTGCAGCAGTTCTAAACCAAGTACAGTCAACTGCAAGATTTTCTACCACCAAAAATATGCAGTATGAAGTTGAAATTGAAGAATAATTAATTAAATCAAAAAAAAATCGAAAAAAACTGAAAATAAACGTAAAGTAGGGGCATGTATGAAAGGTGATTATTATAACCTTATGTGCAAGTAAATGGGTTCATTCGCGATAAGTTTGAGTTTTTAGCTTAAAAAATGCAATGTCTTTTGTAACATGCACTTGGATATGGTTTAAATTTCAGTTAAATCTGTATATGTACACAGACTGCAAGAATTTAAAGGCTGTACCTAAAAGGTTAATGATGTTATTGGTAGCTCAGACTATATAGCATCAAATGATTGAACTGACAAATTAGATAGTATACAGAACAAAGCAGCCATGGCCTAACATAAGGTATCATCCTGGTATTTTACCAGAGTAACTGGGGAAAAAGAAAAAGGGAAAAAAACACAACACTGTCAAGAGAGCCAGACTCCAGGCTGAGATTTGAACTCAGGACCTCCAAAATATAAACAGTATCAATCACTAGGCCACTAGACTTGCTGGAGATTTTATAATTGGACATCACAAAATAGAAAAATGAAGGCAGAAAAGAAGATAATACTTGAAAAATAATATAAAAACATATTTTCTCTCATATATTGTGAACCAAAGAATTACATATAATGTACAAGACCATAAATTTAGATTATGCCTATTTTGTTGGCAACATCAAGGGCATCATAATCACGAGCCAATCTCACATATGCTTTCTTCTTTCCATCAGGCCTGCAACAAAAGAACAAATTCACACACCCTTTTTATTATATATTTGTAAGAAATTCACAAGTGTGACATAGAGATTCTAAAACTAACCATTTGTTCTTCCCTTAATTCAAACACATTTACAGAACTCTGTGTGTGTTGTGCAACACAGTTTGGAGATCTATTTCTGTGGCCAATTCCCACTTCTCAAAACACAGCATTGTCAAAAAAAGACTATCAATATTTTTAAAAATTGTATTTCAAGGAATAATAAACTCACAATGCTATTTTGTTTTAAAATACCAAGGGAAACTTGAAACTTACATCACCACTTTTAACATACTTCAATGTGGGCACCTTTCTGTTCACAGTAAACATCCAGACAATATTCAATTTCTGTATGTACTCATCTGAGCATGTCTGGCATTAAGTTTCAATGGCAGCAACTATGTTCCACCTTGTCATATATCAACTTTTCTCCACATACACATTCATAACATAAAACCCCTCCCCCACAATTCTGAAATACACAGAAGAATGTCAGCAAAATACAGAGAAAATTGTATTATGCAAAGGAAGTGTACCTACTGGTGGAAAGGTACCAAAGTAGCAGAACAAGTACTGCTGATAACTGCTCTCAGGCAACCCAACCACTTCATGAATGGAAGACAATACTGAACAAATTAATGCTCTGGTTCAAGAGGACAGACATTACTAATCAGAGATATACTCGAGAGCTGGACATCAGTTTTGGATCTGCATACATGGACACAGGGCATGTGTGGCTTTGTACACAACAGAAAATATTCTTTGCAGATATCATCAGGAAGATTGCAGAACAAAGTAAATAAATGTGTGGAGAAGCTGTGGGATTACACTAAAAATTCACAGTACATTTGCTTTTGAAAAAGAATGAGACAATGAATTTCCCTTAAATTTAAAATCCTATTGAACAGAGAAAAGAGAGATTTTACAAACCAGACAAGGGGCAGTAACTGAGGGGAAGGTATATAGCTGTGAAGGAGGATATGTGAATGTGTAAAACTGGTACGAAGGACAAGACAGTTGTGTAAAATAAGAGATTACAAAACTTTACAGCACTTACTATAATACAGCAAATTCACAGCAACCTGATATACCATACCTGATTAAAGTATTGACCTTGGCTACATCAATATCGTATAGTTTCTTCACTGCTGCTCGGACATGATGTTTATTAGCACGGATGTGCACAATAAATACCAGTGTATTGTTGTCTTCAATTTTCTTCATTGCAGCTTCAGTTGTCAATGGAAATTTGATGATATTGAAAGCATCCATACTGAAAGATAACAAAACTGACTCAATTAACTTCAAAGATCAAATGGCTAAATTGTGCCAAAACACTACTCCAACTTAGCTAAACTTGGCCCTTCGACAATTCAAGTGAAGGTTTAAAAACACTGCCATTACAGTCTAAGATGCAAACCAAATGGCTCATTTATGCGAAAATACTAGTTCAAGATAAGTCACATTCACCCTCCAGTACTGAAAGTGAAAGTTCAAAACCATGAACTACTTCACAGTATTAGTCTTGGCCTTTTCTAAAAAAGATGCACACATACAAGTCTTATTACTCAGGAATCAATATCAAGCCAATTCACACATGAAGAAAAAATTCATTGTTACTGTTACTGATAAAGAACCTGAAGAAACCTGTTTTTAAGTTTCATCAAAAGTGACCATGTTCACGGCCAATGAATAATTTTTATGTAAAATTTGCATTCTCAAGTCTTTTATTTCTGTTGTTTTCACCTACAAACATCAACTTGGACACACTGTATTTTCTTGTTCCCTCACAGTTGTTTATTCTGCATGTATTATCACCATATTTTTCAAGTTTGCACCATAACAGTGCCTGATACCTTTAAACAGATACCCTTTCACACTAATCCCTCTTTTCATGACACAAAGTACCATTTTAATGGTGGCAGATGCTTAGGTTAAGGAAGCATGAGATCGTGACCTAGCTGACAAAACGGAAGTTGTCAGAAGTGATGTCTCTGTGGAATTACCACTTTCAGCTAATAGGATTCATGGCAGTTTGGGCAACTTGTCACAACTTGTGGTTTCTAAACCTATATTTGTCTTTCTCACTTGCTATGCTGACATCATATGGCATAAATGTTAGCACACATTACATCTTAGAAACATCAATCCACTAAAAGACTAAAAACATTTAAAATGTATAAAATTTTCATTTCTTAATTCTGAGAACTGAGAAAAAATGCCTTCCATCAGACTAAATATGTACTTGTGTTTGATGATCATACTGAAAAGGAAATTTGTCTATGCAAGATTTAGTTCAACCTTATTAAAAGAAATGTTTTCTTTAGCAC